TGACCATTTTATAATTATGAAATGGGAATAGTATTTATTTAACAGTTACCTTCTAAGACCATATAAGATTTTTTTATTCAGATTTTGTATTCTTATGCTTAATCTCTGAATTGTGTATTTTTAAAATCCCTTTTCTTCATCTTCCTGATTTATATTTAATGTTTCTTATAGCCAATATACAGTCTGGTTTTAGTTTTCAACTTAGTCTTTTAATCTCTGACTCGTAATTGACATGAGTCCATTTAAATGTAATGTCATCATTGATGTAGATGGGGGTTGCATCTAACATCTTACTATTTATTTTGGCCTAGTTTTACAGCTATTTATCATCAAGGGGAAAGTCTTGTTTTTGTCACTCTGTAATGGTCTTCCTGTATAGTTTAATAGTAATATTCTCTTCTATTTAAGATAACACTCTATAGATTAAACATCAAAGCATTTATCAGCCTTTAAAATTGCTGTTCTCTAGAACAGTGTCCGAAATACAGTGTGTAATAAATTTGGTTTTCAATACATGAATGAATGGTTCAGTGGAGAGATCAAGATGAAAACTTATTTATAAGCTAGTTGACCTAAGTGAAGAACACATTATAGCAGTAAAGAAATGCTTGAATAACCCACAGTGATATCCAGGGGGAAGCTATGTACCTCCAGAAAATCTTGCCATCCTGTCTGAAGCCACATGGACTGACATCAAACTTTGAAGGCTCCCAAAATTTATGGTGATTGTATGACAAAAAGGACCCGACTCTTAGTAGAAAGTTTATACTGGCAAAACTCATGAGCTGGGTTACAACTTAGCAATATAGATTCAGAAATAAAGCTCTCGCTAATAGCTATTTCTCTATATATACCCAAAGAAGAAGCCAAATCATAAGAAAAATCTTGCTTGTTAAGCATAAAATTAGAATATTAATTAAATGTTTAGCAACATCAGATAAAGGGTTGACTTCCTTAATAAACTGGTATATTGTTTAATTACATATATGTTTCCAAACTTACAATAGAACAAGATTCTTTAGTTTCACATTTCTTTTTGCTTTCTTACAATAACTGGATCTCATCATCAAGTTTTTCTTATAAATATTATATTTCTAACATTTTTATTTAAAATGAAAACATATCCTAAAACTGTTTTTTAACTAGCTTTATTTTAAATGATATGTTATCAATCCAATTATATTTTACATCTTTTATCAAACAATTATTGAGTAATTTATTCATGTGGGGACTAGAGATTTTGTGGAAAATAAAACTGTGGTCTTCATCTCATGAATTTCACAATGTAGCAGAAGAAACGATAGGCAATACAGTATGATATTTTAAGTGTTATCTAGCATACTGGGAAGTCATAATTAAAGGATGCTCAACCTATTCTTGAGGGATTGGAGAAATTTTTCCGAACAAGATAAACTCTGATTTAAACCTGAAAGGACAGTGTGGACTAGAGAGTGATGAAGCTGGAGTAGGAAGTGACAAAGAGTTCATAGCAGGGGCTAAACTCAAGAGATGCAGGAACATGGCACCCACATCAAACTGAGTCTTTCTCTGTGACTGGAGCTTTGAGTGTTGGGGAAAAAGTAGAAAAAGATGAAGGGCACTACTAAAAAATTTTGACCAGTGATGAATCATCATGGAATTCTTATAATGGAAAGAGAAGTTTGACTAGACTCTGAATAACAAGCTGGGAGGGCCGGGAGAGTTATCAATCAGGAGGTTCTTATAGTAATCAACATGAGAGATAATTCTGGTCTGCATGAAGTAGTTACAGATATCATACAAATAAAAAGACTGATGGAGGACATGAGAGGGAAATTGACAAAATTTGATTATGAATGGGTTTGAGATGAGAAAAAAAAATTGTTAGCCTTGATGATGATGAGTGCCAGGGTTCTATCTGGTTTAAATTCTTGAGTGGATGGTGTCATTGAATGGGAAAGATATGGAGAAAAAGTTCTGAGGGAAGATGATGAATTCAGTTTTGTGTGAAATTTAGTGGAGATGCTTACCATATATTAGTACAGATAAGCTTGCAGTTCAGAAAAGAGATTGGAAGTGAGTTCTGAGAACTGTCAGTATGTTGATTATATTTGAGTGTTAAAGTGATTTAACAGAAAAAATGAATTTAAGGAAATGATGAAGAAGGATAAACTGAGAAGGATTCAGACAAATAACAGACAGAGGTGTAAGACAAAACTCAGGAGTGTAGGAGCCATAGAAGAGAATTTCAGATTAATCTCTACCACAGATGCTGTTTCAGAGAGAAGAAATAACATATGGACTGGAAAAAAAATGTTTAATGAATATAATGTTGAGGAAATTTGGCAAAAAATAATTTAAGTAGAGTGTTGAATAAGAACCACATTTCAATGTGTTGGGAAGATTAAGATTAAATGAGGCCGAGAAGATTAAGACACCAGGCAAAGAAAACTAATAGAAGACTTTATATTTTTAAGGAGAAAAGATGTTTCAGTAGCTAGAGGAATTTTGAGATGAAGAGATGTTTCTTTTGTTGATTTCTTGTAATGAGAGATCTTTTAAAGATATCAAAATTTAACTCAGAAAAAACTGTTTTTCAAAATTGTTTGTAATACCTCATTTAGCCTGCAGGTGTCGACAATGTTTAAAGTATAGTAGTGAGTAAAGGAAAAAAATGCCCAAAGACAGGAGGATGGCAAAGAGAAGGGGTCGATAGAAGAGTAGAGAAAAGGAGATGCCTGCACTCAATGGGATATGTAGCAAAATTAAACCTATACAGATAATTGCACAGAAAAGTGAACAGTGTGAACTTGGACATATGGAACCCTAGAATCATGCAAAGAGGAGTATTTCAAGAAGAAGTGGTCAAAGTAGAGGAGTAGAGTGTGGAGATGAGGGGCAGGGATGGAGGGAGGAAAAGGAAAGTACTGGGGAATGAAATCGACCAAATTGTGCTACATGCATTTATGAACACATCACAATGAACCCCAGGGTTGTATATAATTATGATGCACCAACAGAAAATTAATTTTTAAAAAAGGGGGTCAGTACAACAACAAGTTAGAAGTCCAAGTAGAATTCATGACGTTTTCCTGTGCAAAAACTTACCTGTGGTAGTAGGAAGAGAAATAGGCCACAATTAGAAAATCACACTACTGAGAATAAGTCTGAAGATGGCAAAAAATGACTTAAACCCAACTCAAATAAGATTTCCTCTGGGGAAGTTTAATTGGAAGTCCACAAAAACACATATTTTCCCTCCTTCAATGTTTCTACAATGCTTCCACCATATAATCAACAAACTTCACTTTCTTGGAACTTATCCAAGAGAAATGATGACTTATGTTTACACTTAAAAACCTGTACATAAATTTATTTAGCAGTTATATATATATAAAAACAACAGCAGCAGGAGCAACAACAAACTCCAAATAACACAGATGTCCTTTATAACTGCTTGAAAATTTTTTGAGAGAATCTGTCTTTATTGAATTGGTTTCCCCAAACATTCTATTGGAAAATTCAAGACTTTGTTGAAGTAAAAGTGATTATTAATATAAATAGTCTATACATATTTTCCTGGGGTAAAAAAGGAGCTGGGGGTGGGAGAGACAGTAATATGACTTAAAAAGAGCAACATGAAATAACCTTGATTTTATCAATTAATGTCATTATCCTAGTTGTGATTATATTTTTGCAAGTTCTTAATGGTGGAAGCTGGATAAAAGGTACATGAGTTCTCTATTATTTCCTATAAGTACATGTAAACCTATTACTTTCTTAAATGAAAAAAAAAAGACTTTTAAAAACACCTAGAGGTAAAAAAAAAAAATAGAATTTCGAAAATAGTTAAACGAACACTAGTTTGAAGTCAGACTCTCTTATGGCTGAATCCAAAGTCTGCCACATTTTTATTTTAAATCTATGTAACATGATTTTATCTGACTGAGCTTTCAATAATTGATCATCAAGAATGTTATCATCATCCTCACCACCACCACTGAAATCCTTATCAAGTCCTTACTATGTACCAGTCTGTATACTAAGGACTCGGCATAATTTACCACAATTAACCCTCTCAACAGCCCTATCAGGAAGATGTTATAAATTGTTGTTGTCTTAATTGTAAATATTGAGAAACTAAAGTACAAGAAAAAGTAATTCACTCAGGGCCATATGGTGAATTTCTAAATATGAACTTGAGCGCAAGCAGTCTTGCACAAGACTTAAACCCTCCCCCTAACATTTATGGGACTCAGGTAAAAAGAAAAAAAAATCAAAGCCTCATACTAGGTCTAAATGCTAAAGAGTTAGAGATCAAGCCAAAAACTGCTTAAATATACATTTTATCCTTTTACTTAGACAAAGATACTTTGTAAATCATTTGAAGGGTTACATTTGAATTTAAAGTCTTGAGCCCTTTCACAGTTGTAAAGATTAAGCATGGTGAACTATGTTTCCATGCAGGGTAATTTAGTTCCCCACTGTAAAGAGGCCTCCCTGCACTTTTGAGTAGATGCTTCCACCAGCTATTTTGACTCAACAATGAGTCAGTGTGTTTTTGTGGATGGTCTTGGGAATAGGGGGTCATGTAAATCCTGGAAACCTAGCAAACTGTACAGAGAATTCTAAGGTCCTGAGTACCAGAAACACAGTCTAGAGCCATGCAAGATGGGCTCCAAGTGAAAGGCTTCTTGGTCTCACACTCTGGGAGAGGCACAAACAAAAACAGACATAAATTGAGTGCACAGTAGAGGTCCCCCTAACTCTTAGGTCTAAGGACTTAGATCTAAGTATGACACTAGCCTTATTTCAACAGGAATGAAGCTTTCACTTTTGCAGTTAAATTATAGAAGATCCCTCGTAAATTATACCAGATGTGTGCTGCTCTGTGGCATTACAGGGAAGGTGCAGTATTTCTATTAGTGTTTGTACTTCTGTTTTAATGTCAAGTAGCACATATTCCCCACATTGACATTTTGTAGTCATAATATATATATATTTATATGTATTTTTGGTAGATGGACTGGATGCTTTTACCAGATTTCTTAAGACTGAATTCAGTGAAGAAAATATCGAATTTTGGATAGCCTGTGAAGATTTCAAGAAAAACAAGGAACCTCAACAAATTACACTTAAAGCAAAAGCAATATATGAGAAATTTATACAGAGTGATGCTCCCCAAGAGGTATAGTATAGTAAAGATGACTGGAAAACTTTACAACTGCTTGAAAATTTTTTGAGAAAATCTGCCTTTATCAAATTGGTTTCCCCATACATTTTATTGGAAAGTTCAAAATTTTGGTTGAAGCAAAAGTGGTTATTAATATAAATAGTCTATAAAGATTCCTGTATATAAATAGAACACATTGTAAGATATTATCAAGAAAGAGAGGGTAAAGTGAAGTCCCTCCTCAGTTATTTTCATGTAGACTAAGAATGAATACAATTAACTGCAACTTGGTGATTTCTTCACGCATTCATGTTAATCACTTTAACACAAGCAGCCCGTCATAGATTTCTAACAGTGACAAAACAAGAAAATCCAAGAAGTGTTTATAACATGTACCATTTTAGTGTTATCTATCTATATAAAGTTTTGTTTGCCCCAAAGAATGACAACTCTGTTTTAAAATAAGCTAAAAGAAAATATCCCAATAGATGATATAAAACACATTTGGCAATGGATCAAATGGGAAACAAAACAAAACAAAACATGGTTTTCTTTGACTGCAAACTCAATAGGTAACTGTGATTCAATTGCTAAAATGGCTATGAGATTAGCCAATATTATCATATTAATTAGAGTTTATATTTATAAATTTCTCTACAATTTCTATTGTATTCAATAAATGGTGATTCTTTATTTAGATGGTGGAATTGGTGGTCTGTTGCTGTTAAAAGTTTTGTTTGTACATTAATACTGTCTTAATTAATCAGCTTTCTAGAAGTTGCTGTGACAAACAGCTAAGAGAAATCAACTGAAAGGAAAAAAAAAAGTCTATTTTGAATTATCACTTCAGAGGTTTCTGCCTGTGGTTGCTTGACCCTGTTTCTTCTGTGGCAAGGCAGAATACCATGGTGGAAATGCATGGCAGAGGACACTGCGCAACGATGGCAGCCAGAAAGCAAAAAGAGAAAGAAAAGGGGCCAGGGTTCCTATATCAATTTCAAGGGCACACCCACTAATCTAACTTTCTCCAACTAGGCCTCATACTTTAGAGGTTCCAGCATTTCCCAATGACACCATACGCTGTCAACCAAGCCTTTATTATATGGGCTTTTGGGAACCATATAAGATCCAAATCATAACATTACCCATGGAGTAGCATTTTCTATGTGGATGTTACACCATTAGAAATGATGGTTATTTTCCTTGTTTTAGTATTTTTCAATCTTTTTTTGTGTTTCAGTATATTATTCTGTCTTCCCTGAGGCCAAATTTATACATATCTCAAAGCAGAGAGGAGGGTAGCTAATGGTATCTTGTTACACAGGAGGAAAAAAAACCTGATTTCCTACTTGAAAACTCACCACCACCAGACCAGGTATATCAATGGTACTATAATAAAAGGTCTTAAAGGATTTCTGTCTTTAAGAAATGTCTATACTTCAGCATACGTTTGTTTGTAGGAAATGTCATAACGTAACGAAATAAGCAATGGGATCAACAGAAGTCTCATTAAAATCCTAGATATTCCCCAACATCCCTGTTTTCCATCACTCAATGTTGTCTATGTAGTTTAGTTCCCCACTTTAAAAAGTCAGCGAGTTCAACCAACACTGTGTATGCTACATCCATTGCAATATTGCATTTTTCTAAATTAGAAAGTAAGAAGGGTGAGGAGCATAGACAGAAGAGCCAAATGGAATTCCAGGCCAGAATAAATCACCCTATGCCCCCTGAGGAAAACCACGCATGCCTCCAAACTTGCTAGGCCTGCTCTAACTTTGCATCAATCTAGGTGTTTGCTTAAGTAAAGTGACTGTAATTGCACTTTTTTTTCCTGCTTGTCCAGGTTAACCTTGATTTTCACACCAAAGAAGTCATTACTAAGAGCATCACCCAACCTACCCTCCACAGTTTTGATGCTGCACAAAGCAGAGTATATCAGCTCATGGAACAAGACAGCTACACGCGTTTTCTGAAATCTGACATCTATTTAGAATTGATAGAAGGAAGACCTCGGAGACCAACAAATCTTAGGAGACGATCACGCTCATTTACCTATAATGAATTCCAGGATGTGAAATCAGATGTTGCCATTTGGCTCTAAGGAAAATTGATTGATCTCATTTTAATGGTAAACTTGTATCTCAGCTTCTAAGATATAATATGTTTGCACTAAGAAATTATTCTATCTTTTAAAATGTACCACATGAAAGAATTTTAAAAATATAAATCAAAGCTTTTATATTTAAAAATGTATGATGTATCTTTCAATATATCCTGTAAAACTTTCCATTTTATATCACCCCATTCATAACCAGAAAATTTTTCTTTTTAGTTAAAAGGGAACAAAGACATAGGAGCAATGTTTTACAAGACTGTGAAGTTAAGTAGAGGCTAAGGTTTAGCAAAATTATTAAGAGTTTCACCAAATATCTACTTTAGATTTTTTTTTCCAAGATGCTTACAACATAGTACTTACATATCCACATATTTGGAGAGCATTTTTCCATAATAATGAATATTCTCTTTCTCTTAGTAATAGAGTGAAATAATCTAGTTCTTGTATGGTGAGAGGATGAGAAGCTCAAGAAAAACCATAGATTACTTCTAGGATTAAGCCCGCAATAGGGCCTTCTGCGAAGACATGTTGATATGCAGAGAACTTCCAGGTTAAATGTAAGCTAGGTTGATAACTGAGAATGAGATCCAGAGTTGGGTTCATTCCTAAGTGGGCCTAGACTCTCCCAGTTAGACGGTGCATTTTTTTTTTCTAGTCACAGAAAGATATTCAGATTATGGAGATAAAATGGATAAAGAAATTAAAAATTAATCATATGATGCTTATGTCCAGATTGGGACTGAGTAGACTATATCCTTGCCTGATAAATGAACTTACTATTGAAACAGGAGGCAATCAATGGTTTGAATGATGAGCAGAGGACAATTTTCTCAGGAGTCAATAGGTTTCAGGTTCAGACTTTTGAAGTTGGGTTGAAATAAGAAATTAGAAGAGGCGAAGACGCAATGAGTTTAAGACTCAAGCATCTGTCACCCTCTCTCATCTTCAAAGCATGTTCTCCCTTTAATAACATTCTTATTATAATTTTCATTTAATACTATATTATTCAAATAATATTATCTAATAAGTATACATATATTACAGAAATATTTAATTTTAAGTGTGTATTACAAAACAAAACATGGTCTGTATTTAAAGATAAACATTTGGCTTTGGCAAATGTTATCATTTTAATTGAAGTGTAAAATATAAAAACTTTTAGCTATCCAAAATAATAAACATTTTCAATTTCTTCATACAGTTTATTTTTTATTTAGCCAGTAAAAGTTCTAGCTAATTGTTGATTATCTTTCCTGTTATCAAATAAGAAATAACCACATCTTTTTATTTTAGGATGATATTAATATGGAAAATATTGAGATATTGTGTCACTAATGTTAACTCTAATGTTAACTCAATTCTTTACATTGTTGTCAATATAAAAACAAAAATCATACATTGCAAGCATCATCTAGGAAAATAATTGTAGATTTTCTTTGGCTGATTTGTACTTTCATTTTTTGTGGCAGTCTCTTTTCATGAAATTTGATTGTTTCATGTACTGAATTAAGATTTCATACAAGCTTTCTGATTTTATCATGAAAATCATGGACTGATTTTAATAGCTTTGTCCTGGAATCATGAACATTGGTTATTAGCTTTTCCATTTGTAATCTATTTCAAAATTGTCCAATTTCTTGATTGAATTATGAAATATTCAATGAGGTGCTTCCAAAATGTACCAGGATTTCTTGATACAGTTAATGCCTGACTTCAAAGAGCTTTGATCTCTGAAGGGAATAACATGAACAAATACAGAAAAAAAAAAAAAAAGAGTCAATAATGGAACTAGTAAAAAAAGCCAAGTAAAAACATAGATAGCACTGATAAATCACCCTATGCCCCCTGAGGAAAACCACGCATGCGTCCAATCTTGCTAGGCCTGCTTAACATAGATAGCTCTGGCTGAAAAAACAGGGAAGATGTATAAACTGAGACTCTAGAAGCTCAAGGCTAAACTTCTTAACTGGATGTCTGATCCTCAGAAATTCATATAACTGCACAGACCCTTGCCCTCTACAATCTTTTACAGAAGGACTCAAATTTTCTTATTTCTTGTGCTCTGTATGGTCCCCACATTTACTGATTTTAAGTATTGTAATGAATATTCTCTAAAGAACCTTCCAATTGGTGCACAAGCAGAAAAAAGAGTCAAAAACTATGACTGATGAAGGAAAACTGCAGAATAAAAATTGGAATGGGTGCTACTCTAAGAATAAGGGACACTTTTATAGAAAACTTACAAATACATAAAAGGAAAAATAACTTGATTTTTTTTTCTTTTTGCAGTCAAATCAATTTAACACAATGTCTTTAAAGACATTAGAAGACAGAGGTGGATTGAATTAGATCATTCTACTACCTTGCTTGTGGATTTCAAGTTTTGCCTACCAGATTACCAAGTGTTGTACATAATAGAAGCTCAATAAGTGACTTTTACGTTAAATACTATACTACAAAACTATAAAATGAAGCATTATGAGAATGGTAGTGCATTGCATGGCCAGAGTAAAGGCTTTAACATGAGGCAAAAGACATACACAAGAGACTCACTAAATTTAATTCTAGCTCTGCTTACTTATCAAATATATGTTGGGAAAGTTACTTAAATATTCTACACTTCACAATTCATTTTTAATATTAGAATAAAACTTTTACAATGTTCTTATGATGATTAAATTTTGAAATATTTGTAAAGTGCCAAATATAGATTAATTGACTTCAGTGTGTGGATGAGATTATGGAAATCATTTCCTGTATTTAAGTATCACATTTTAATTATAATTTTTGCCTTGGTTACACATCAAACAAAT